CGCATGCATGTTCAATTACGAGCTTCGTTTAAAGAAGAAAATGGCTGATGGAATATTCTGGTATCCGTTACGGAGATTCCGTGAATTGTCAGGATCAACGGCTCTGATTGATTGGATGGAATCTCCTAATGCTCATATCTTCAAAATCAACGTTCCAGGTTAAACAAATAATCACTGTTTCAATTTTCACAAATTTGGGTACAATTAAATTCATGATCGTGTAATAATTTTTGATTGAGTTTATTATTTAATTATTATATATAAGTACATACTCTCTGAGTTTGTTATTTAATTTTGTTGGGTTAAATGTTTGTTTTAATTAAGTATTAAGGCTTAAATGGTTTTTTTAAGGGTAAGATATAAGATTTGGGGTTTGGTGTTTAATTTTTATGGTTTAATGTTTGTTTTTTATAATTTGTTTTACATATTATTATATTTTTAAAACATATAGACTTTCTTTGTGTTATTTTGATATAAACATATCTAGACCAGACCGTCTCATTTAATTTTCAAACTGAACAGGATACAACAAAGAGGACATAAAAGTGCAAATTGAAGAAGGAAATGTTCTTAGCATAAGAGGAGAAGGATTGAAAGAAGAGAAAGAACGGAAAGAGAATTTGGTGTGGCACGTGGCGGAAAGAGAAGCTTTTTCCGGTAAAGGCGAGTTTTTCCGGCAGATCGAATTGCCGGAAAATGTGAAACTCGAACAAATCAAAGCACATGTGGAGAACGGTCTTCTCACGGTGGTCGTCCCTAAGGACACGTCACATAAATCCTCCAAAACCCGAAATATCAACATCACTAGCAAGCTCTGAAAGTTGGTTATAATCTAAGCTTAAAGTTGGAATAAATTTGGATTGTGACATTCTAGTTTACATCCAAAAAATATATGAAATAACTATATATTGGGTCAGCTGTAAAAAAAATATATAGTCATATTAATTCACAATTTAAGGAAGTAATCAGGAGCTTACCATGTTTCTAGTTCTGAAATACTCAACTGGCTGGATAAATGATGATCTATTTTCTCTCGGATTCAACATCTAATACACACGAAAATGGACAAGG